TTTTTTCAGCCAATTCCATAGCTTCTGTTTGTATAATTGGACCAGAAATTGGCAAATTTTTTGACCGAACGCTGACAAACCACTCATACAACTTTTGATCAATTTGTTCAAATAAGGGAGTTTTCACTCTTTTACTCTTTCCCGAGTTTTTGCTATTTACCCATTCATCCATAATCTTTTCTTTATTTTTTATTGCGTCGTAAACTTGAGTTTTTCCACATTTAAATCTAGTAATAAGTTCCTTTGTACTTAGTTTTTGTGTCTCCTTCAACTCGATTAGTTTAACTATATCTGACAAAGTCAGAGCTGTACGTGGCATATTAGCGAGTAAAAAACTAAAAACAGTACGAAAACAAACCAAATCACAACGATAAAACAGACGGTGAGCACTGCACGTTTACTAAACGATATGAACAATTCAACAGAAAAAAAACGATTGAGCAGTTCATACATTAAAGGCATGTACATACATACATATCTAATCTTTAATAATAAACAATAGTATGACAATCGTGAAACGATACCGTCGAATGATATTTCAGATAATGACAGATAAAGTTTAGATTATTAGTTACCAAACATATATATTATATACATACATATAGTTTATACTTATGTAAGTGTATGTAATTTATCTTTAAATAATTCTATTTTCCGTTTAACAGAGGGTATTTTTACTAATTGGATTACGAACATTTTCCGTTTCCGTTTTGTAGAGGTTCCGTCTTAAAGAGTTCAATTTTATATATTATTTGAACCGGGACTATTGACATTTTCCGTTATAAGGAGGATTCCGTCTAACAGAGGGTCCGTTATAAAGAGGTTTTACAGTATTACTAATTTTAAATTATAACTATATTATATTATACAAAATAAAATACCTGGCATTTTCATACGGCCTATCCGATATAATTCCTTCAAAGGTCAGATCTACAAATTAAGCATCGTGCGACAACCACTGCATAATTTTTTCCATTAGGAGTTACTGTTCCTCTAAGGAATGACAAACAGCATGGCAACCTAGTGTGCTCCCAGAAATGCTCAGCTAAAATAGGCGTCCAATTACATTTTGGAAAACTATAATATGACCTGAAATAGAAAAATAAGTTTATGTAAATACCTTATAAAATTTAACTTAACAATACCTGGAATTCTGTGTGGGTCTTGACTTATCGTTCAACTTATAAATAATTTCTTGAGGATGTATTTGATTCCACTCATCAGGTGAAAATGTGAAAACAAATTTTTTTGTTGGCTTAACTGCTTGATCTCTATTACTACTATTGTCACTCTCAATTTTATTCTCTACAAATGTAAAAAAATAAAATATTGTTAATTATGAAAACAAAACTGAATTTCTAAGGTTTTACTCACCATCGTCATCTAATAAATTATCGAGACATTCAATTGTCTCGGAATCTACTTTTTTTACAGTTGTTAAACCAAGTTTTTCCTTAATCCCATATCTTCCTTCATACACAAATAAATGAATAGCTTTGCTAGACATACGGTCACCAATAGCAATAGATATTTCTTTCCAGACATAATTAGAAGCAACAACAACTTCTAAAAATCATAATTGTACATCATATAAAATTGAGTGCACTTATAAAAATAAATATGCTAATAAGTTATATATACTTTATACATGTATAACTGTACAATAGATTTCAAGCGTACTTCGACTTAGAGTAGGTGATTTTAATCTTTTAGTAATCTGGCACCCGTGAAGAAAAAAATTATTTTGGAGGGTTTAAATTATGTAACAAATCCTGAATTCGTGATTAAAAGTTATTACGAATTAAATAATAATTGAAGCGCTCGGCCAAACAACGGGACAAGTGCCACTGAGCGCATTTTACAATGGAGGCGTTTAAAATATTACGGACCATTTCCACGACTTAAAACTAAACTTATTATTGCTTATTATTGCCTTTTAATCTATTTTTATTGTAATTTCAATGCGGTAGTGAACATATACAATAAATTGTACTCGTGCCCCAATACTCAATCGATAAACGTAATATTGCCGAGATTGGCGCTTGTCCCGTTGTTCGGCCGAGCGCTTCAATTATTGAAACGATTTTTGAGTTAAAATTTTAGGTAGGTGGGGTCAGTGATCTGACATTTTCTTATTTAAATAAAATTATTATAATTTATAAGTGTTATATAATATACCCATAGGCCATAATATCCTTTCATATATAGCAATTTTAATTACAACTTTTTTACGTCACATCCTCATAATTTATTTTTGTATGGATACAAACAAAATTATTTAGTTTTAAATAAATATTTATATGTTATTAAATAATACAAACAATCTTCATGTCATCAAACAAATTGCAAAGTTAAATTTCAATGTAAACTGTACCTTCTATTACTATGTAAGATGAAAAGATCTTATTTATATCTTATTTCTAAATTATAGGCAGGGATTTCGGAGCAGGAATTTCGAAATTGGTCGCAGGAATTCGCAGGAATAGAGCACTAAATTTTGGCACAAAAAAAAGTGCAAAAACATGAATACTTAACCCGGGTGGGGCTGGGGACACGTGTCTCCAGCCCCACCCATACAAAAATGGATTTTTTGGCAGGGATTTCGGAGCAGGAATTTCGAAAGTGGTCGCAGGAATAGAGCACTAAATTTTGGCACAGAAAAAA